AAAGAGGTCTTGACAATCTTGAGTATAAGGGAATAGTGAAGAAGGAATCTTGGAGGTCCAGGATCGTGAAATGAGTAGTAGAAAAGGGAATATGGGGAAGCATAGTGTAGTGGTTTGGAACTGGTGGTGTATAGGCATGACAGCATTATTTATGGCTGTAAGGTCTTGAACTAAACAGTGGGTCCCACTGGGTTTGCGGACAGGAAGAATTGGCGTGTTGTATGGAAAGTGTGTGATTCTGAGAAACTCATTCATTAATAAGCAGAAGAGTATTGCTTAAGACCCTATTGGTGTTTGGGGCAATGGGATATTGTGGGACCAAAGGAAAAATAGAGGAATCCTTGAGACGAATAAGTATCAGAGAGGCATGAGTTGGATGAGTGGGATTGCAAGTGTCCCAAACAGCAGGATCAACAAGGGAGTGGAGCAGAGGGGACTCTGAAACCTTGACACAAGTTGAATGAGTGTGGAGAATGAAGGTTATAGGTAGGGAGAAGGTAAAAGCCAATTGAGTTTTAGGAGAAGGTCTCTACCTAGCAGAGGAGTAGGGCAGGTTGGGATAAACAAGAAAGTTATGTGTGAAAAGAGAGTCTGAAACCTTCAAGACACAAGTTCCTTCTGAAGAGGTTGCAATAGTTGGCTGTCAACCCCCACTACAGAGACAGTGGACCACCAGCATCGGCCCAAGTATTCAGGTAAAACACTAAATGTGGCCTTATGTCAGTCCAGTGAGACTCAGGGGTTTAAGAGAGTCACCTTGGTGGGGGCAATAGACCCTGAGTTCCTTTAGTTGTCAGCAGCAAATCTGAGCAAGTTAGTCAGCAATGAATCTGAAGGAAACAGTGGCATAGAATCCTGTGAGGGTGGAAGTTGATGGTTTACCCACTCTCTGGCAGAGAGGACAGTCAGTCTTCCAGTGACCCCTCCAGCTTGCAGATAGGGCAGGGCACCAGTGGTAGCCTCGGATCTGGGCATGCTTGTGCCCTCTGTCCTTCCTTGTTGCACTTGAAGCGTGGTTCCGGAGGGGTTTGGGTCTTGGGCTCACAGGTTGTGACTTGCATTAAGCCCCGAGTGCCACAAGCAAATATTAGCCCTGGAGTTTAGCTTGGAGTTTAAGTTGTGTAAGATTCTCCTGTTTCTGTTGAGTCTTTTTATATTAAAGATACTTAATGCCACATCTAACAGTTCACTATGAGAGGCATGAGGGCCAAGGGCAGACTGTTGAAATTTTAGTCTGATATGTGGGGCTACCTGACAGATAAAAGTATGAATTAAGGAGAATGACCCCCTCATGTGAGTCAGGCCTGACATCTGTAAATTTGATAAAAGCATCCATCAGATTAGACATAAATTCTGTGGGGTTTGTGTCCTGTCTTTGAGTTAATTCATGAATCTGTGGTCATTAAGTTGATTTCAGGCACTTTTGCGGAGGCATATCAGGATACATTCCAACATTTAAGCTGTATGGTAGGGCTATCCACATTACATTGATCATCCCATGGAGGATCCGAGTTGGGAACGGCAGTGACCCCAATGGGATGATCACAGTCTAATTTGTGCCTTTTGTCAAGCTGGTGCCTGTGCAGGCTGCCAGAGGTTCACCTTTTATGCCAGAGAGAGAATGGATGATAAAAATAAGACGGATAGCTTTATAGGTCAAATCACATGATTGACAGACACATTTAAGCTGTTTGATAAAGGTAAAAGGGTCAGTGTCAGAGCAACCTACATGGGTGGAAATATGAGTGAGATTAGAAATGGAAAAAGGGACATATACCAGCCCTTCAGCACCTGCCCCCTTGCCAAGAGAAAGGACAGATGCAGGCAGAACAGGGCCAATGAAGGGCAAGGGAGAAAGTATGGATAGAGGATGGGCAGAAGAGGAGGCCAGGGGCGGTGCTTGCGCAGAGTGAGACCAAGCATAATAGGTGGGGTAAGAGAAGGGGGATTGGGTGAGAGGTACTCCAGAACAAAGAAGGAAGTGGCAGGAAGAGATAAGAAAGGCAAAGATGAAGAGGAGATGGAAGCAGAGGTGAGAGGCAGTGAACGAAGAGGAGGAGAGGATGGGTCTTGGCGATAGGGCGGAGGGCAAGTGCTAATGGGACATCATCTAGGGCATCTACAGGATCGGCATGGGGGCTTCAGGAGGAGGAGGTTGAGTGCCATAGAGTGAGTCATACAGGCCCAAAGTTGGTTAGGACATGCCTGGAGTGCAAAAAAGGCCTGAGTGTATGGGATCTCAAACCATTTGCTATTACAGTAGTTAAAATTTTTGAGGTCCTAGAGGATATCCAAGTCAAGAGTGCTCTCTGGTGGCCATTGATGGTTATTGTCTAAAGAGTAGGCTGGCCATGTGGTTTGACAATAAAAGACAAGATGGCAGGGATACCCCTTATAGGTTGAGTGCATCTAAGTGGCACAACAAGCAGCTGAGAGGAATGTGTTTTGCAGGATGAGAAGAACATTGCCCATGGTGACTGAATTGAAAGTGAGCCAACAGGCAAACGTGCTGAATCACACTCCCTGAAGGAGTCATCACCCCAGTGAAAAGCACATGCAAGAGAGAATGAGAGTCCCACACCAGGCCTGGCAGTTATTACTGGTGGGTTGGGGGTAGCTCCAGAGGGCGAGGTCCAGTAGGACAAGAGAAAAAAAGTGGGGGCTGTCCTGACATGCCACTGTGGTTTACAAAGAAGGAACCACAAAGCAAGAGTTGGCTCACCTGTGTGGAACTGTGAGGATTGAAGTGGCCAGTGGTGGATGGAGACCAGTAACAGCAATGGCAGAGGTGGAGAGAAGAGGAAAAGGAGGAGGAAAGGTCCATAGGGGAAGGGGACTCAAACCAGGGGCAACCTTGGAAGTCACACAGTCTTCTCCACTTGAGTCATACCATCATCTGTTTGGTCCTCTGACATGAGAGAAAACAGAGAAAGAGAAGACGCCTTTATTGTGGGCACAGGAGGGCTGCCGAAGAGACCGCAAGCACCTTCTGAGGAAGACAAAACCATGTGCTTTTATTTGGTTTTGACGTGGTAGAGTTGAAGTGGTGGACAGAATGACATATTGGCAGCTGACTGGGGGAGCATTGGCACATGTGCAAAAAGCGAGAGGTTCAAGTTTCAGATTTGTGAGAAGAACATGGAAGTTAGTGCTGAAGGGAGGCACTGTCCAGCACCATGTTGACTTGGAAGAATGCACATGGGAAAAACTGGTCAATTCTCATTCTTTTTGTAAGAGTTGCTGCTTATTTGGGGTATTTTACAAAATACTGGTTTACCCGGGGATATAGCTCAGAGGCATAAGTGCCTTTCTGGCAAGTGCAGGATCCTGAATTCAATCCCTGGTACACACACACACACACACACACACACACACACACACACACAGAATTGGGGTTTTAAGAGGTTTTTTGTATTTGACTTTAGTCACTTTCTACTGTGTATTCTCTGAAGATGGTTTAATGTATATCAAGATTTCAGCTACCATTTAGACAATGTGTTAGTGTCCCTATGGGTTTGGGAACAAATACACAATGGTTTGAGTTGCTTAAGGAGCAAATATTTTATTTCTTACTATTCTGGGGATGGGAAATCCACAATTGAAGTATTGGCAGATTGGGCATTTGGTTGGGACATTGCCATTTTCTGTATCCTTACATGGTGGAAGAGCCAGAAGAACTCTCTGGGGTCTGTTATAATTCTATGCATAAGGTTTCATTTTATGACTTGATTGCCTCCCAAAGACCCACCTCTTACCATCATCATATCGGGGATTATTAGCATTTTGACATGAGAATTTGGGGAGGGAGGACATAGACATTTAGCCCCTAATGTATACCAGTGATTTCCATGTTTGTGCCTGTGGTCTGTGTTTCTTCTGAGCTCCATACCAAATGTTTTCCCTGCTTGCTGTGGCAAACCTGAAGTAGGTGTGCAGGTGTTTAGACATTGGTAGAATGAATATTTACCCTAAATTCTCCTGTCTACTTTCTGCTTGCCTGAAACTACTCCACAGTATTCCAGAGTGACATGAGAGCCTTCAGCCTGTTCTACCTTTCCTTACTCCGCATTCATCCCACAGTCTGGCAGCAGTTTCTGTCTGAATTGGAGAGTAAAGGGTGAGGAAAAACACTGACTGGGTACACTCAGCCCTTCTCCAAACCTGCTTTCGTTACATTCCAGTGTGGCTTCTAATTTAGGGCCAATCACAGCACAATTACTGATTCACTTGTCCCCAGGTGCATACTGTATAGTTTGTGGGTGTGTAATTAATAAATGTTATAATGTACTTTTTTCCTTTTTTAAATTTGTGTTAAATTGGGTGAGTCATATTATGTATTGATAGGCTTCATAATTGATTATGTAGCTTATGGTGGTAGAAAATATTTGAAACTTACTCGTGAAAATATTCTCCAAGATTTGAGTAATAAATCTGTATAGACAGTTCCCCATAGCATTTCTTCATAAATCCTTCAGAACTTGATCAGAAAAAGGGTAAATAACATACAGAGTGGATACCAGCAGTATGTTCTAAGAATATAAACAGTACTTGGCTAAGGAAATGATAAGTGATACCATTACATTTGGATAGGGTTAGTGCTGTGAATGCAGCCAGCATGGAAATGAATAAGGTGTCGAGTTGTCTGGGATAGTAAATTAAAATGAGATTTCCCCTTGATACATTTAAATTATGCTGTTATAATGCTGTAATGTCTTAGTGAAGCACAGAGGGAAACAGCTTTTTGCAGCTGGTTAAGGGTTGTTCTGTATTTTTGACTTGAATTGACATAATTATCTTTTCAGCTTGGGGAAGAAAATGAAAAACCAGTATTAGGAGAGTATTTAAATACAAATGCATGCATATGCTGCCTAATGTTTTTAATTCTAGGAATCATAACTAGAATTCAGTCTTTCTTTCTCTGAGTAGTGTTAAGATGAAGGATGCTGAAACTGTTGTGCTGATCACCACCCACTGCTTGAACCATTTTTGTGCCTCTGCAGGTACATGGACTGTATCGTACAACGGGTGCTAGTTTTGAGAAGGCCCAACAGGAGTTTGCGACAGGTGTGATGTCCAACAAGACTGTCCAGACTGCAGCTGCAAATGCAGCTTCCACAGCGGCAACGAGTGCAGCAACAAGTGCCTTCAAGGGTAACCAGCTCTAGAGGCCTCCACAGCATGTCGTTCCCTTCTGACGGTACCATTCTCTCCAGTTACTGTATTCTGCAGCTGTTTTTATGTTGGAAACACAGTACACACAGCATGGGTATTTCCTGTTCACATGTGCATGGGCTAAAAGCAGAAAAACTTGATCTTATTTTACCAAATAGTTTTTTCATATTTCAGTGCCCCGGCAGAAAAAATATTACATGCTAAATAAATATATTCTCCATATTTTTGGAGAATGGTGTTTAACAAATTGTTTTATGGTGACTTGCTGAAATGTACTTAAAATCTGAAGAGCTCTTAGCACTAACTGGGTAGTTCTCTCAAGATTCTTTAAAGGTAAGGGTGACACGAGAAAACATTCTCTTTTTCCTTATTTATTTTGAAAGAAATAGGCCAGGAGAGACACAAAGTTTAAATTGACTTGCTTTTCTAGCAGTTTCATCACCAGTGAGAGCCTGTGTGCTTTGTGGTAGATGATGTATATTTTGTCATCTTTTATTCCTTTTTAATGGTAGCTGATATTTTGATAACAGTCTCTGGTCTTGCATGGCAACATGTTGCTTAACTTAAAAGAATTAGTTTTGGGTTCTGTACTGCGTATAGTTGTAGGATTCAGAGTTGTTTATGGATCATAGAAGTGATTTTCTGTAATAGTTTCTTTTAAATAAAAATTTATTGCAGTACAGTATGAGACTTTAATATATTATGCAGTGCATTATCCAAAAGAGAAGGTAGTTCGTCAATGCAATAGAATGTAGTAATAATAATTCCTTTTATTTTATTTCTAATATTCAGTGTTCATACAGTAAAATTTTACTGTATGGAAACTCTGGTATATTCTTGTGAGTACTCTTTTTAATTGAACTGAGATTGTGTTTGGCAACTTATTTTTGGGATGTGTGTGTGTGCGTGTAATTTTTGACAGAAGTATTAAAGGCTAACTTAATCCTTGTCTAAAAAGAATATACAGTATTTAAGGAATTTTTATTTTAGCTTCTCATTTTAGTGGCATTAAAAATAAAAAGACCTTTAAAACTTCTAATATACTAGAATCCCTGATGCACCTACATGTTTTACTTTTTGGGATAGACTAAACACATTTAAATTGTTTACCAATAGAAAAAATCAAAACATTGCACCAAAAAGAAAGTACATATAGAATTAAAAGCATTAACTATGAACATAAACACATTGAAATCATTACTATAGAGCACAGAACTTTATTCTTAGGGTATACATGGATTTAAACTTTGAGTCATTTTTAATATTCATTAAATGACTCAAAAGCATTTCTAAATCATGCTCCTGTGTTTTGAAATCCTTTAGATAACTTTTGATTGTAGACGCATAGGTAGTGCTTTACTCAGCTTGATTTTAAGCAAGGATGATATATATATTGGGTTATATTATTTGTGACCGAAAATGTTTTTTAAAAAAAAACCAAGTGGGCATAAATGAGAATACATCACTTTTTATTCTCCTTCCCCAATCTGGAGTTAAAGTAAGTTTCATGCTTGATGAGATGCCACGTTCTTACTGTTTATGAGGAAGCTCTGTGTGCTGCCCAGAGACACGGATCATACAGACCGTGTTTATGTTTGGATTATTTGGGACTTTATTGAATAATATAGTTGGAAGGTATTTCTTTTATGCTGAAGAAAATAGGATTCAGAGTATGAAGTAAGGTGTTTTATAAATATTTCTGATCAGTGATAATCTTTACCTGCATTCTCACCCACCTCACCAGCTCTGGTTCTTTGGATCCTGTAGTGTAAGTGAAAACTTTTTTTTATTGAATGTGGGTTTTATAAATATTCAAAACATTAACCTCAAAATGTAACAAGAGCATCATACCCATCACTATATTCCAGGTCTATGTTTTGTTTTCCTCTGCTAAAAGAAAAACATAATAAATAGCAAAAGATTTATTGAAGACTTTTGAAAAATACTGATATTCTTTACTTTAAAATTGCAGTGTTTCTGTTATGTAGAAATCTCCAAACATTATCAAAAGTGAAGAATTATTACAACCCACAGTATCTTTTTCTGTGTGAATAGAGAAAAAAAAAAACCTTTAGATTTACCTAGGTTAAAACAAGTCTGAGAGGAAAAATTGTTTTTTAAAAACGTAAGTTGCATTAAAATGATGACAATGCCTAAAGATTGATAGGTATGAAAGCAGCTTTAAATTCTCGTATTCACTATTTTCTTAACAATAATCAGTAAACAGTTACATTTTTACACAGCAAAAGATTGGCATTTGTCAGTGTTTCATACTTAATACTAAAATTATGTTTTACCACAATCACAAAATAGTCTTCATATCATAGGCATACGTGACACCTTTCAGTTTGCATTATTAAATCATGGCTGTTCTATTTCAAGCTAAGGTTTGAATACTGGAAAAATCCTTGCTCAGTAGTTTGTAAAACTGGGTCTTGGTTCTTGACCTGGGGATGTTTGTATATTTTGTAGGTGAGTATACTGCACTGTTGTCATAGTGACTGTCATGGTTCTGTTCCAATGCCTTCCATCTGTCCTCTGATGTTGCATGTTTTCAGTGATTTGGAAGTTTTGTATATTTATTGTATTAATGCAGAGTGTCATAAATAAAATACTGTTTATTGGATGTTTGTCAGCATAATTTTTTAACACTATATTAGCAGTTCAGATGCAAAAATTATGCTGTTGGTTTCATGTATCTAGAAGTTTAAAAAATAATTTTGTCATTGCTAAATAGAATATAAAAGATTGAGTTAAAAATCAACATAAAATGAAAATTTTTATCTGTTGCAATTAGAGTGTTATAGGTAGTACAACATGAGCTTCACCCACACTAAATATTTTGCCCACTAAGAAGATATAAAAGCATAATCTAAAATCATGTTCACAGTGTATCTTATTTTGAGAAATGTATATTGGAATAAAGTAGGATTTTTCATTTATTTTCTGAGTGTTAACTAAAAAAGGTGAGTTTGAATTTTTTACCATTCATTTACTGTAATTCATATTGAGGTAAAGTATATTTGCATTTCATGGAGATTTATGTGGTTAGGTTTATTGGCGGTTTCTCTAAATGATTTGTAATGGCATAGTGTTTCTGTACTCACTGCTGAAATGCTGACATCAGAGTCTTCTGTATTGGTTAAATTTGTGTTTAGCATGACTATTTATAGAATTTAGTACATTTTGAATATGTTTCCCTGCTATATGTCATTTAGAATTAGTATGACCATTTTACTACATATCTCTCCATTTTTTTCCTTAAGGAGAACATTTAGAGGAATTTGTTGATTCCATGTGATTAAACCTTTAGAGGAAATATAAGAATGGTTAATGTAAAAACTGGATGGTTAAAAATCGTAAAGACCTCACTTTGATAAATTTTCCAATACTGTAGTAATTTAATTATAGTAGAATCATGTTTTAAAACATTAGAATTTTTCTTAAACTAACAGTTAAATCTCATTATGAGAAATGAAGGATTTCTACTAGAATTTTAGGGAACATTTTACAAAGCATATAGGTTGTATTCACAGTGTCACTGATCTTTAAGTAGATAGCTCTGATTGAAAGACCCTAAGGCAGTGATGGTAAACCTTTGAGAAATATCTTCCTAAACTCCAACCCCCAACCCATTTATTGCAGAGTGCTAACACTGCAACTAAACCCAAATACTGAGGTTTTAGTTTAGGAAAAACTAGTCATACATCAACATCTTTTATCTTAAAAGTGAAACAAATAATATGTGTTCTATAGGTTGGCCACCACTGTCCTAAAGAAATAGAAAAAGATCTGCTGTTTTCTCACCCTTCCTGTGGATTTCACATTATATTTTTACTTTATGGTATGGGGTAGACAAACCTTCAACCTGTAGAATTTTTATTAGCACTGTTCATGTTTTCAGCTGGCAAGGAAACGCAGGTGGCAGTGCAGTGAGTGTGCCATTTTGTGTGTAAAAGACAGATAAAATTGCACATAATTGTATGTGAAACTTCTGTTGAAGTCTGGTTCATATTTTTGTTTTCTGTAGGAAGACAACTTTCATCCTAAAACTAAGAAATGACACTGCTCTCTATCTCCTCATAGTAGGTCCTTTGGTGATGTTGGCTCACCTCTTTCAGGCCCTATTTCCTTGCGCCCCTGAAGACCACACTGGTCTAGATGTCATCAGGCCAGAGAGTGTGTGCATTCAGCCCGGCCTTTGTTGGCTTTCCATGTGGAATAGTGGGGTCTAGAACTGTCCTCTTTCAGACTTGGAACCCACGGAGTGGCCGTATTCTGCCATGGAAAAGGAATTATGAAGAAAGCTGGTCTGCATCAAGAATGAAGAATGAAGCAGACGTGCAGAGGGACACGAAAAAGATCTTAACAGTTTGAGGCCCTCTTGCCCATCTTATTCCTGATTGTTATCCTTATAACATTCTTACCATCTTTTCTTTGTGACCTGTCCTGAATTTTTTCTTGCTACTTTCATTGGAGCATTTTAATACAGTGGTTTATCTTTTTCAGTTCCTATATTTCTGAATGTATTTCTGTAATACTTAGTAGCTATACAGCTATCATAAAATGATCTTACTCCCTTACATTTAGATTATTATAAATGATTATCAAGGAATACATAGTCACTGAATTTTGGGCCCAAGCTTCTAGTCCTTTCCTCAGGATAAATTGCTGGATCACTGGTACCATGTTTTTAACAAGACCTTTAGTGTAGATTGCCAAATTACTTCCAATTTTGGCCTCCATCTGCTATGTACAAGTCTGTTCACACCCTCACCAATACTGGATGATCCTTTTGGGTAGTATTTTATACCAGTATTTTGGACAATGAGGTCTGGTTTCCCATTCTTGTGAGTTCATTCAGTGTTGGTATGTCTCTGTTTGTCTGCCTGTATAGTTTTGCTAAATAGTATTATCCAGTATCTGTAGAGAAGTCTACTTCCTGACAGTTCTAAGGTAAAGTGATTAACTGAGTAGTTTATATGGAAAAAGAAATGGTGGCCTCAGGTAGCCAGTCTACTAAGTCACTCCAGGTAAGACTGGATTGGTTTTGATGACAGGTTATATTACCCTTCACAAAATGTAATTTCTCAAAGCAGTCCTAAGTAATAACCTAGGAAGAGAGAGAACTGTCTTAGTTTTCTTCTGGTATTGAGGATTTACTGTATACTACACTAAATGAGTTACCGGGTCTAGGAAACAGTTTCTGTGAGTAGCCTTGCTTTCATAGCTGACTGGGAAGTCAGCCCCACTATGTGAGCAAGGGTGGTAAAGAGCGGGGCAAAGGCAGCAAGAAAACCAGACCCCAAACTGAAGGGCTGCTTCTGCCACATCTCTTCATTCTTCCGCTTCTACCTTTTCATTCTGCGGGGATTATAAACACAAGGAAAAAGAACCGGTAACCACGAAAAAATGGCTGCATGTGTATTTGAAATCTTCAGCTCAAAGGCTGTATGCTGAGTAATCTTGGGCATTTGGGTATTTGGAGAAACTTTTGTGGAGGACAAATCCTTAATTAAGTTAAATGTGCTTCTCATGTGACAAACTAGCTGCTTACTCTAGATGAGATTATTTATACTAAGAAAATAATAAAAATTATCAGAGCCCATCATCTCTTTTTGCTGTCATGGACCTGTTGAGTTTTTAGTATGTTGTCAGGATTGAACTGAATCATGATTTATGAATTGAAAATAATGTTATCATCTTAAGAAATTTGAAAAATGAAGTGTGGTGGCATATCCTGTAATCCCAGCACTTTGTGGGGCTGAGGCAGGAGGATCACAAGTTGGGGCCCAGTTTGGGTAAGTTAACAACTTTGTGAAAAAAAAAAAAGGCTAGGGTGTAGATCAGTGTGAAGGCCCTAGGTTCAATCCCCTGTGTGACACAAACAAAAATATGAAAAATAGTGCTGTGTTTTTATCTGGAAAAGGAGAGCTGTATTTTTTGTTTGTTTGTTTTTATCTTTTTCCTTTTTATTGGTACCGGGGATCGAACTCATGACTGCCTGCAAGGCAGGCGCTTATGCCGCTGAGCTAAATCCCCAGGCCCTGAGCTATGTTTTCATTAGTTGTACTCTTACGATGTTTTCCTGGAGTCACACTGGAAGGCACTGTTTGACACTGAGGCATTGGCTGCATTAGCTGTTTCGCCCCTTGCTCGTCATTCTAGGTAGAAGGGAACAGTATGGGTGTTTGCTATGCAGCCTGTATATGTACTCTGCAACTTGCTAGCTTTCTATCCCAGACTTAAATGACTTAACCGTAGCTGTTCCTTAAGTGACAGTTGCTTGTCTGTAAATGAAGATAGTAGCTCCTACCCTATAGGGTCTTGGTGAATAAGCTAGGTATACAAAGCGCTCACTGCAGTGATTGTGCAGTGCACAGTAACCAGACATGCAGCTTCTCTTTGTCTACTCACACCCGAATCAACACAGATGTGTGCCCCGTGGTACCAGTGTCAGCCTGGTCTTCTCTAGTCTGTATGCGGGATGTGTCTGGCAGCAGCCGGAACTGCACCTTCCCACTCACCACTGTCCCTGCTCCTTTTGGACTCCTTACCAGGTGATTGTAACACTTGGCAGTCACCCTAGACTCTCTTCTCTTTCCCCACTGCTGTTCATCCATTCGCTGTAACACTCCTAGTTCAGCCCACATTGTCTTTACCACCACATCTAAACTTGGGCTTGTGTCTCCTGTGAATAAATTACATGGTTTCCCCAGCCAAGGACCTTGTGGGATGGATTAGGTGGAGCTGTTGGGTTCTTCAGGATATTTAGCTGTAAAAAGCCAGAGCTGCTAATAGCTATATATTATTTGATTGACTTTGCTTTCCCGTGTGGCTTTGTGCTTTACATCTGTATGCCGTATACCTAAGCAAAATTAGTAGTGCACTTGTTGAAGGATTATTTCACAGAACTCCAGGGTAAGCAGAGGAAGTTGCAGGAAACAAGGTGGTAGTGGCAGCAGCGGAATCAGCATCAGATGACTGAGCTGCTTGTGAGGCCTCTGCTGTGAAGCTGGTTAGTGATCTTGCTGCTCTGGAGTGTTTGTGCTGATGCCTTTCTCCTCCTGCAATACTCAGCTAATGGTCATGTAAGAGAAATGCCAAGGAGAAAAGAGATCATCCCCTTCAGTGAGTTTTGCTGATCAAGGGAATCCAGGCCTAAGTTGAGTGCCTGTTCCAGGAAGAACAGTCATGGGAAGCTGCCCACAGCTCGGCTGCCAGTGAAAAGCTACAGTTTGGAGGCCCTGGGAAGCTCTTAGTCCTGCTGAGCTCTAAGGCCCATTCCTTTGGGGATACCTTTGCAAAACATCAAATAATACCTGAAGAAGCTATGGAAAATTTCCAATTCTGCTTGGGCTGTTGAGATTCTAGTTTGCCAGCCTTTAAAACTTTGATTTCTATTAGAAACATGTCAGAAGTCCTGTACATTTAGAAATCAAAGTGTAAATGTACTTTGAGCTGCCATAAGCCCTGGACCAGTGAACAAATAGCCATTTTTGTTTATTCTACCAAGAAGTAAGTGCTCATGAGATGTAGAATTGGCTGAGATTATGAAGAGAGTATTTGGTGTCATCTTTGAGTTTACAGATGAGTAATCTTACTACTATAGGTGGGGCTTCCTATAGGCAGGATTACTTTGTAGGAAGGGTAAATGTGAATAGCTCCACGTGATTGGCTTTTATTTCTCCTGAGACAGGATCTTGCTTGGTAGTTCAGGCTGGCCTTGAACTTGTACAATGTTCCTGCCTTAGCCTCCTAACTCTTGGAATTACAGGCCACCACGCCTGGCTACTTGGTTAGAAGTGAATGTCTATTAGGTAAATTTTTCCCAGTCACAAATGTAAAATATTTTAGAGCTTTTTCATATTTGTATAGAGCTTTTTCATATTTAAGATGTTTGTGTAATAAGTTTTCCCCCTTATTTATAATGTTAATGCTTTCTCAAGGAAGAACTGTTATTTAGAAGTTAAAAACCTGTAGTAAGTTGAGATCTTGCTCAGGGTAGAAAGGTTCATAATCACGTAGGTGAAATAGTAGGTTGCCTCCCTAATATAAAAACTAAAGGAGTTAGTGGAATCCAAAATGTACAATACAAACTGTGAAAGTGAAAGGGGAGGAATTGTCTAAAAAGAGAAGGCAGTGGCCATTGTTAATCTATTATGATTTGAACCCATATTGTTTTCACTGTTCTGTTTAGTTTGGTTTCATTCTGTTTCAGTTTGTCTGCTTATATTAGATTTGATGGCATGGATAGGTATTACACAAATAGCAGGATATATTATGGTAACCATTTTTGATTTCTTATTAGCTTGATGTGAAGCCTTGTATTGCTTTCACTTTTGTTTTGACTGATTTTATTAGATTCTGTTTTGTTTGATAGTATCAAGTCTGATGGTACAGGTAACTACTTTAAAAACAGTAAGATACACTATGATACCCATTCTGGTTTGATTGTTATCTTTTTTTGAAGCCCTATGTTGCCAATGTTTTGTCTTTATTGATTTTATTTTGTACTGTTTTGCTCAATTTTATTATGCCTGATGATATGGGCAACTCTTTTGAAGATAACAAGAAGCATTACAGTAACCATTATTGATCTCCTTATATTTTGTTTTTGAGTCACATAACATGTTGATCCTTTTGTTTTGATTGACTATTTTGTTTTGTCTCATTTGGTGGTGTTCTCTTCAAAATTTAGAAAAAAAAAACCTGTAGTAGGGATATGACATGTACGTTATTAGTAATAGAATAGTTGAAAATGCCTGAGTATCTTTCTTGTTATTACTGTCTCAGTAAGTGTTTTGGTTTTGATTGGTAGGTGTTTCCTGCATCACACAGTACACATCAGATTGAAGCCAGTATTCTCAGACTTGAGTTTATAAAATCTGGTTTAATTCAAATCTGAGAGGAAGGGAGCACACTGTTAAAAATACATAGGCACAGGAACTTCATCAAAGCTAGACAACATATTAGTTTACTGTATAATGGGTTAATTACACATTTGAGGGCTCAAATTGAGTCTATCACTGTAATACAGTTTTTGTTTGGCTCAAGTGAATGTCAAGTGGTGCTGATTTCCTCCAGAGCACCTGATGACTCCCTCGTCCTTAAGAGTTTCACCACAGTCATAGAAGAAACCCAGCCGTCTCTGACTCTTGGCCCATGGGACATCACTGCTACCCCCAGACAGGCAGGCAAGGATTCCTGGGGCCAGGCGTTATTGCACAGAGGTCTGTCCAAAGCCAGACTTAGGCTAAGAAGGCATGTGGTCAGCCCTTCTTCAGTGGTCTAGCATTGACAGGGTCCAGGAAAGCACACTAAGGAGCAGCACCTGGTGACTAGGTTCTAGCAACTGATTGTCACACTAACAGAAAAGGCAACACGTAGCTTCACATTTCACACGGAGGACTCATTAACTGGACCTGGCTTGCTGGCTTAACTTCACATAAATAGTATTATAATTTAGACCTAGCAAAAAACAATTTCATACTAGTCCTTCCTTCACATAAGTTTCATGTAGCATTAAAATTGTTGTGAGCTAATGACTAAGCCGCGAAGGCAAAAATGTGTAACTTTCCTTTGCCAAAACAGAAAACATCCCTATTTTGACTCCTGTCCAGTTTCCAAAAGAAAGAAAACATACATACACCTTTGTTATTGCACATCTTTCACAAAACTTGTGTATGTATTATATACATATTTAAATAAGCTACACATTAAACAAAAGACTATGGCACTTTATGGAATACATGTTTAACAAGGATCATTACACCACAGATGTTTGAAAACTACACAGAAACCCTCACGTAATTGTTACTCTGTTGAATTAGCACACAGGTTTAAAGAATCCAGGTTCTGAGGCAAACATTTCTGCTTTAGAGTGCTTTGAGATGCCCAGGCCATCATGAAACTTTAAAGCACAAATGTAGCCAAAATAAATAAGCTTTTCCTGGGAGCAGCAAGAGGCCTGCTTACCAGAAAGCAAGTGTGGGTCGGTGAGTGGTTTTTAAAGAGGCATGCAGAAGAGCTTTGGTCCCAATTAGCATTGCAATCGATCGTTTATCCCAGGGAGGCAATGCTGCCCTTCCTAGAAGCAGCAGACTTGCTCTCCCTCTTAGTTTTCAGGTAGTTTTTAGTGGTTTGGCTATGTGCCTTTTTTTTTAGTCTTCTATATCATTCAAATTAATGAAAAGAACATTGTCACGTGACTTGCTCTGGCTGAGAAGTCCCATTTTCACTTGGGATTGCTGTTGATGGGTTCACTGTGACAGGGTGACCTCAGAGAGTTCTGTCACTTTAGCTGAGTAGCTGGTGATAGATACATAAGGTCCTCTGGGCTCACAACTTGTCCCTGCAAGGAGGCTGAGATTGTAAAATGGGTTCTCTATCTTATAGAGGTTAATCTTTTGATAAGAAATTTAAGAAAAAATTTTATCAAGATTTGTCTGATATAGGAAATTGCTTTGAATGAAAAATACTGCTCAGGTTTGAAAGTAGTTACCTGGCTGGCAGAAGGGCTTGATTAGATGTTATAAAGCACTTTCTGGCCCAGGACTCTTACCACAGGCTCCCGTGGCCTATTTCAGGAGGTTAGAGATGGTTGTTCGCACTTCCCACATCTTTACCTACATGTCGTAGAAGGGTACCTGTTAACCCTTCTTGCTCTGAAAAAAAGTCAGAAGATTTGACTCTTGTTTCAAAAGATGTGCTCCTGTTTTGTGCTTGGCCTTTCATCTGTGAGATAAGATGGTTTCTAGTATAGACCAACAGCCAAACAGAATGAAATGAAAACATCAGTCTGCCCATTCCATTCCTGCAAAGCACGATTCTAGACTCACACAACTTTGACATTCTTCACTGGTACAAAGTCATAACTTTGGTTTGAATACCTGGTGGTACTTAGCACACAATACCTTGCCAGTACAAGGTGCTTAGGACCTGTTATACTTTCAAAATAAAGCCCTCTGTGAGCAGATTCATAAACCCAAAGAGACTCCAATCTTAATCCTTCCAGACACTGGCCAGGATTCAGATGTGAGGGTGCTCCTCCCTCTGCTGTACCTGACACACGTTAAGGCAGGCTGTGGTTCTGCTGCTCTGCTCATCCTCCTTACCACCTGCCCAGATGAACTGTATTGGTAACTGATGGAAACTACATTAAAAGTCCTAAAACCTTTTCTTTTTTTCTCAAGCCTTTGTAATAGTGGTGTTTCATTGTTTCTGTAAACAGGTATAGGCAGGTGCTGCTGTTCAGTGGCAGCAGCTTAATGTTATTTCAATCTTCGCTCAGGATTCGCTCAGGATCAGCCAGTGACTAGAGAAGCTTAACTGCCATCACTAGCTCCTTTTTCTTGCAAAGAATCTTCTGCTGCTGCTGCTGCTGCTGCTGCTGCTGGTGTGTGTGTGTGTGTGTGTGTGTGTGTGTGTGTGTGTGTGTGTGTGTGTGTAAAGGTCTCCCAGGGCGCAGATTTGGCAGTTCCTCCTTATAAGCACCTGCCTGTGCCACAGCTGGTGTGGAACCCAAGTCCCTGGAAGAAGGAAACAGGTTTTCTCTGGCAGTCAGGGCACAGCCTTAGTCCCAGGAGAAGAGGTGACCAGGCCTGCATGAGCACTAGCCCACCCATTGGAAGAGGAAAACAATCTCCCCCTGGCCAGGGTCCGAGCTGTCATTTGAGTGTGATTGTACAGGCACTTAGTCTCCCCTTACACATTTCTAATGGTTTGCAGCAACAGTTCAGTGATTCACTGTGCTCTGAAATTCAGCCTAGAGTATGCCCCACACTGTTTTAGAGGACCCCTTTGGTCTGCAGCATATATCCTATCCCCTCTAAGTTTGTGATCTTCCTTTCAGTTTCCAACTGCAACAACATGAAAGAACTAGGGAAAAAAATCAAAATGCCAACTTGAGACCTCATCCCAAGGCAGAGATGCACTCTGACGTGCAGCTGTGGGCCAGAAACTTCCTCTTCAGCCCTAAAACAGCTTGTCAGGCTAGCGGCCAACTGCATGTCGTCTGCTGCCAGAGAGTGCCTTCATGATTCCGATCTTTATCCTTCATGGAGCCCTGGGAAGATGGGGTCTGATTGGACCCACAACGGCAGTCAGGGTTGTCACATGATGATTGCGTTCCACCCTTATCACTTGCACTGTGACCTGTGTCCAGTAACTGCTTAGCTGTTGCCTCTCACTGGTCCTGTAAAGGCCTGGGCTGTGGAATGTGGCTTTGGTAGGTGAAGGCTATTTTTCCACTTGATTCATATGGTGTGGGCTGTTTCACAAGATTACAAAAGAAAAAATGGCATCAATGTCTCTTTCCATACTAAAGGAGGCAGATAAGGTTTTTCCCTTCCTCGATTTCTTCTTGTACTTTGTCACTGGATGTTGCAATTTCTGCTTGTGCGGAGAACACAGCACAGATGAAGGTAAGCACCGTGCCCCCAATGGCAGTGTAAAAGGCCCAGCCTAAAGAGCAGTCTCCGGGCTTGTAGGCAGATGCATAGTGTCCACAGTAGTCTACAGCTTTCTGGCAGCCCCAGCCGGCAGGGTAGAGGATGAGACCAAGGATAAGGAATAGGCCTGTGGGACAGAAGAGCAAACAATGAAGGCCTACAGCTCTACAGCCCATAGCACTCACTCGCTCTGATGTGCTGTGACTGCTGCATCTGTTCCACGGTAGAAAGTGCTAGGCACCATTTTTTGCAGCTCATCTGACCTGAGCAAGAAGTGCCATTTAGAAATATTTTCAGCCACCTGGCTATGTGTTGCAGTGTGACTGCATGAATGATTCCTCTTGTAAGAAAGCAGACGATCTGCACAGGGCCATAGTGCTGTGAGCACTGCCACCTGGGTCTAAGGCAAAGAGGCTGGCAAACCAAGACCCTCAGGCCAAATGTGGTTTGATTTATTGAAACATAGTGCCCATTCTTTACAGACTACTTTTATGCTAGACTAGCAGAGCTGAGTAGCTGCTACAGACATGTGGCCTGCAAAACTCAAAATATTTACTATCTGGCTTTTTGTGCACTGGCCCAAGGGAACCCTCACAGAATGCAACCTGGTTAATATGAGACATGTGCCTGGCAGGGGGCCAGACTTAACCTGCCAGTGCTTCAAATACAGCCATGAGAAGTGTCTGCTAAAATTTCTGACAACAAATTTTATGCAGAGATCTGTGCATTTGCAGATAAGAGACAATCCTTCCTTCTCTTCAGAGTCTGACAGCTCTTGAATAACTAGGAACACAGCAATTAGCTCTTTCCTCTGCCAGGTCTGAGGAGAGGCAACCAAAATTACAGTGTAAGATTTGCATGCATAGGTGTCGCCAGTGTGTGTCCAACCTGGCAGCGAACGCTCACCTGCCTCAGCCCCAACCCCAGTCCAATCCCTAGCAGACCTGAATGTTAAAGTGCGAAAGCCAGTCCTCAATCCCAAATCTCATCCAACCAATCACCAGTAGAATTTATTAAAGGCCTTTAGTTCATCTGCATGATGCATCAAAGAAAGATGCTATTTTTCCTGTGTAGCAAGAAAAAACTTTGAAAAATGACAAGCTTGCTAAATCATAACTCAAAACTCCTATTTTTCTGATACGTTGGAATAGAAATTCATTCTTGCAAATCTTGGCTTGCAGTCTGTTTCTTTCCTTGACAGAAATTGTCTGAGTTTACTACCCCATAACTTCCAAGCCACTTAGCAACTTCCCTGTCCTGCAAGCACAAACACAGATGTGACACAGGTCTGAAGGAAGACTGGGGACAGCACTGCATGACACAGATCACAGCTTTCATGATCATCTTTGTCTAGGATACTCCTCTTGCCTGGCTGGGCAATTCTGCCTAAGCAGTCTTTGGGCCTGACGGTTGCCACTTTATCTGCTGTCCCACTTAGGAACCCTCAAGGGACTGTGCTGTCTGCAGATGGGCAACCACAGAGGCAGTCTTGTTGCCACCCACAGCCCCAGACTGCTTTCTGGACAGCATAGGGAGGTGACAAGGGAGTTGCAGGGGTTGGGTGGAAGGGGGCCCCCCACCAACCAGCAGTCTTGGGGTCTGGATTCAAGTCAGAAGCTAGACCTGAGCAGCAGGAAAGCTCACATGAGGCAAGGACATAGCCAGCAACAGACTAAGTTATGAGGTGCTTCGGTCAGTCAGTACCTCTGCCCTTGGAGTAGTCAGGCTGGCATCCAGTATCTTTCCCTGAGCTGGGTAACCTCAGAAAAGCTTGCCTGTCTGATTCCTCACCTGTAAGAATAGACTAATCTTTAAGTCCCATGATGGATTTTAAAGCCCAAAGTATTTGCTGCACTTGTAACAAAACTGGAAAGGAGATCAACAACCTAGTCACAATAAAGCATTTCACAGACTGCTCTGATGTGTGAGCACAACCATCAGTGTCCTCTCCCCACTAATAAGCAGTGCAACTGAACCCAAGGGAGATGAAAAGACCCCTGCCACTGAGCCCCAGCCCAGCCCTTTCCTCCCTTGCAATCTCTGTGCCTCAGCCTGAGTGGCTAGGATTACAGGAGTTACCACTATGTCCAGCAGACCTGCTCAGGGGGTGGGGCAGAGTGGAGCAGCAGGCATATTGGCCACCATAGAAGAACTTTGAACAGAGGTTTGTGCAGCAGAGTTCTAGAATGACTTAATTGTGGTCTTGCTGGCATGCTGCCCTGTTCTCCACAGGGCCTTAGGGTGCACAGAGTAAGATCTGTCCTCCCTCAAGGTCTGAGTGGCAGCTCTCTGGTCCCCAGGGACAGTGCCAGGCCTCTCAGCACATGTCCCTGCACAGGACTCTGCCCCTCTGTGGGAGAAGACGCTCACCATGCAGACCTGGAGCAAGGGCACTGTGCTTCCCTTCAAAAGACCAAAGTGGACCTGGGTTATTGTCAGCGGCCCAGCGCCTGCCTGGCAAGCACAAGATCAAGAGCTCAATCCCCAGTGCCAAAAATGACCAAAATGTTCACATGTAGTAGTTTTGATTAAATATTGACTGCATGTTTCACTTGCATAAAAAATTTTTACGAGGCTTCAGTGTAAAAAATGCAGTTTAGTATACCAGGAACAGAAGGCGAAGCACAAGTTTGCTGTCACATACTGGCCCTGCCACCATGCTAAATGCTGGCAGGTTGCAGGACACAGGAAATCACCTGAATATGGTTGTGCTGGATCCTGGAGGAAGCAGGTGGCTCCCTACTTCAGTAGCCTCAGACCCCAGCTGCAGGGTGGAGTCCGGGCAGGAGCACATCTTTCCCTTAGGCATTCCCTTCCCTCCTGGTACAGGCATGATTCTTCAGGTACCACAGGCCACTGTAAACCCATGGACTGCTACTGGCCTGTGAATGCGGACAGCAGGGAGCCGTGCTTGAGTCTGTCCAAGCCTCAGTGGCAGTGAGAGCCCACTGCAGAGTCACACAGGGTGAGAAAAGCCAGGCTGTGGGGCAGCCAGGCTCAGGGCGGAGCGCCCACATGCTGCCCCAGGCCAGCTGGTTGGACAGACTGGAGGAGCCTTACCCACTCCTTGACTGCCAGTGCAGGAAGTGGCACTTGCTGTGCAGCACACTGCCCTGATGGTGGCCTCTGCTCCCAGCACTCACCAGAGTGCTCTGTACCAGACTGTGCTATGAAAACACAGGAAGTAGGTCTGACAGATACAACAGCAGCTCTTCAGTAAGTGGGAAAAATAGCCAGATGTGGCATACACTTGTAATTGTAGCTACATAGGAGGCTGAAGCAGGATGATCGAAGTTCAAGGGCAGCACAGGCAGCTTAGTGAGACTGCATTCAAAAATAACAGAAAAGGACCAGTGGGTGATGCAGCAAAGTGGTAGACCATGTGGTAGCATGTTTGAGGCCTTGTTCAATCCCTAGTCCCTAGAAATTGATAGTAAAATTTTTTTAATTATTAAAAACATTTCCTCAAGCATTTAGACACAGCTCTTATAGCAGGGAATTCCAGAAGGTCTGGTGATTCATGTACCCTCGCAGGCAACACTCTCCTCCCCTCCAGAGTCCCAGAGCAGGGAGACACAGCCATTCATCTGAGCCACCAGACTGGTAAAGCACAGGCCATGCACATCTGCTTGCTTCTCGACCTGCTTAGTTAGGAGGGGGAAGAACTGTAGAAAGAATGACATCAGTGTCCAGTGGCCCAGGACAATGGAACCTCTGTGGGAAAAAGCCCTCAGTGCCCAGAGACTGTGCATGCTATGCTGACAGAATGGTGTCCTAGAGGGGAATGCTTACTCTTGCGGGGTGTAAGGGCGGACTACAATTACTTTTTGTTGGTATTATGTAGCTGACACCTTACAGAAAGTTGGTATGATTGTTGTCACATTTCCTAAGATGAAAGCTAGAAAATAAGTGGAAGCCAATGATGCAGTTTGCTGAACTCTCTCCTGTTACACGGTGGCACAGATATTGGTAAAGAGGGCTATAGTGTAACCAAAAGAATAAAAGAGACCTTTAAACACTGGGCTATTTCTCTTTTATTAGATAGGCTACCTCTCTAGCTTCTCAGGCTGAGAGTAAACTGCCACACCTCCTCAGCTGGGATGGACCAGAGGAATGGGTAGAACAGGAACTCACACATGCTGGCCCCAAGAGACTTGGTTAGGGTTTGTGTCCATGGGGAAGAGAGCACCCCAGAATAGCCTGCAGATCTTGTCTACTGTCTCTAGGTGTTCTCATCGCCCCTAAACACCTAATCAACATATGGTTGAGATTTGGAATCTTTTGAATTTAGCTTTGACTAAATCTTTCCTTTCACCAAAATGGATGGACTCCCATGTTTCTCAGGGAGCAGGTAGTGGGCACCTGTGGACAGGTTACAGGACGCTCTCCATGTCCAGCTCCCACTGCTAGAGACAAACAGTATTTACTGGATGTCAGAATGAATCCTGGTCAGAAACACTTGTCAGTGACTCTCCTAATTGTACCTTTTCCTACTACTGAATTTCTGAAAGAGCCTAGAGGGGAAGCGTTGTGTCCCTGTGAAAAGGTAACATTTTCATGACCTCACAGGACATTTCTTTCCCTCTCGCTAACAGCCTTCCGCAACATTGCACCCAGAAAGTCAGACACCAGTGTCTGCTAACCAGTGGATCAGCTTAGGGCATATCCAGCCTTACTGGTGAAAGACACCAGGACTACCCTTCAGAGACTACCTCAGGCTGCAGGCAGTTCGATGCCTCACAGACAGCCCTACTGACACTGACTGGCACCAGGCACTGGCTTTCCATGCCACCCCCTGCTCTGCTACCTCAGTCATGTTCATCTCCCAGCGTTTCCTCAGCCAGCGCCGGAATGGTCTGTGTCTCTCTGGGGAACCTGCTCGTGTGGTTTGGGTGTGACTCAAACAGGCGGGAGCTGTGCCTTATCACTGTGTTCCCAGTGCCTGTGGGAAAACCATGGCACTCTAGGAAAAGGTGTCACAGAACCCTTCTGGTTCTTCACAACATTTGTTACAGACGGGAAAAGACCAGGTACAAATCATGTTGGAGCTACTTCCTTCTTACTGCCCTCAACCCAGATAGCAGGCTCTCACCCAGGACTTCTCATCAAACCTTCAGGTTCAAAGCA